GCCCCCGCCATAGCTGTAGCCCAGCTCCGGGAAGCCAGGGTGGGGATTGTAGGGGTGCGGGGGTGGTGGGTACTGGTAAGGGAACGCCATGGGCCAAGGGGCGGCCCCCGGGTGAGGCAAAGGGGCCAGCGTGTCCTGGTCAGAGGCGCCGCTGGAGCCATCGTGGTCGTGGAGGGACAGGTTGGCCATGTCTGTGGATGAGAAATGGCGGGTGAGGAGGGTCCCTCCCATACTGCCACCACCAGAGACAGCCTCAGGGAGACCCTTCCCAGAAGGCCTGAGTCGTCATTTCAGAGCCTCAGTCCAATCCCGGGCAGGCCCCTCCCAAACTCTGCCACATTCTTCTCCCTCCTCAGTGGCAAAACCCAGAGGGGGCCATGTTTCTCTTCTGTTCGCTCAGAGGGTGTGAGGTCGGAGAGGCGGAAGGGCAAACCACCTGTGGGCCCAGGTGCTGCACACGGGGCCCAGCCGCGGACAGAGCAGTCTGTCTCCTGCAAACCCACAGCTCTTCCAGGAAGGTATCCCCACGTTTCCTCCAGATGGAGAGATCAGCTCCAGAGAGCCCAAATGACCAGCCTGAGGTCAACCTAAACTACTGCCGGAAAAGAAGTTCAGGGCTGCTTCATTTCTCCTTCCCTTTCCACACATAGTTAGGCTAGTTGGGAGCAGAAGTGGTTTGGGGAAATTCAGGGTGATATTTTGGCCTCCCCCCTCACCTAGAACTAAAAAACAAACCACCTGTAAAAGCCCAGCATGCGAGTAGGGCTTTGCAGGGCCTCTTCTGTAGAAGGCCCTGGGGCTGAACACATTTCCCTGTGCTCCCAGAGAGCTGCGTGTGCAGTGGGAAAGGCCGGAGAGAGGGCACCTGGGTGTCCGCTGTGCTCTCTGCCCATCCCAGCCAGGCCTGGCTCTTCAGAGCACTCGCTGTCTCACTCTGTTCTGTGTGTGTGTGTGTGTGTGTGTGTGTGTGTGTGTGTGCTATAGGGCACACGTTTGCCAGAGACAGACACACAGACAGACAGAGAGGGAGAGAAAATGAGAAAGCAACTCCCAGAGAAGGTCACAGCACAATCTCTTCTCCCTTCTCCTCTCGAGATTTTGGGCACACAGGCACATGCGCCTGGCTTGTTTCAAGCCGCTGGGTCCAGGACTCGAACCACATAGTTGGCTATGTGGGATCCAGCCCTCTTAATCACCATGCCATCTGCTGGCCCCCCTCTGTTATCATTGCTGATTTCAGGACTCCCCTGGGAAACTGTACACTCTAAGGGCAAGGCTGTTCCCACCTGTGGAAGCTACCTGGGAGGAGGCAGAAGGAACCTCCAGGACTCTTTTTTTTTTTTGGGG